TAGTTTTCCCCCCTTCTTCTTTTTCTGGCTGTCAGATGTTCTTTCTCTCTCCTTTTCCTGTCTAATTTTACTCTCTTTGTCAGTTTCTGTCCTTGTACGTACCAATCTGTACAATTCAAATTCACTTTATTCTCGTGAACTTAATTGAGTACAGAACAGCCAGATCACAAAGTGCAAGGTTTACACTATATGCGTAAAAATACTTAAAAAACAAATACGAGCCCAATTCTACTTTTGGGGGTTTTACCTTTCCTATACTGTGTTATAGGTTTTAGTGCATGTAAATGGTCTGCAAAGGTTAAATTCCCAAACCTCCCTCAGACAGAGTTTCTCTCCCACACACTCCCCCCCCCTCCCCCTCGCCTGAACGCCTCAATTGGACTCCTTTTCTTCTGATACATAGTGACATCACTATGTAACACTCACGCTTCAAATGACTAGTGCTCCAACAAATCGTGATACTAAGGGGCGGGACAGACTAATCAAAACAGAGCCGGCCAGCTAACCAATCAGAGCAGACTGGGCTCTGGTTTCAGACAGAGGGTGAAAAGAGGTGCTGCAGCACAGGCAGTATGAGAAACATAAAGAGCTTTTTGAACATTAAAGCATAGAGACATGTCACAGTAGAGACACTAAATACTAATATGAACCTGAAAATGAGAATATCATGTCCTCTTTAATACACTATTTAACATTATACACAAGATCCACGTGCATAACTACATACTATGTAATGACAATGAAAGACGATCATACTTATGCAGACTAATCATAAAAAATTATCATTCTGTAGAAGATGAGGAGTTGTCTCACAATTGAATACAATATAGCGGAGAGAACTATAAGAGTAAAAAGAGGCAGATATTTTTGCTACGGTTCCATGTGATGTTCCCCCTGAGGCTGTGACATGCTCAGACATATGCTTCTGTTTAAGTGGCAATGCCCAAACCTCCCTGTCACTTGTCACCGGGACAGAGCATGAGAACAATGTCTTTTCTCGGAGGAGGCGAATAAGACTCGGTGTTGCCCTGCCCAGCTTCGCATTTTGCATTTAAAATATTTCAGTTGCAGTGCCTCGGTGGCCAAATGACACCAAACCGCAACATCCAGTGTTCAATTCAAGCTGAAGGATTTGCCCCTCTCCCTGTCACCAGTCTGCCACTCCACTCTATGTATTGTGTCCGTAGAGTTTTAAAACACACTTTATTTCCCTGACTCGATGTCACTTGAACAAGCAGCAGGGTTCTCCCTTTTTTTTTGGCACTATGGCTCGACTCCAGAGAAGAGAGGGTCCTTCTTAGGCTCGATTCCCACTTTAAAATTAATAAATGGAACTCAGATGAATGCGATATGCTTTGACAGCCAAAAGAGATTGTGTGTGTGCAGCAAAGGAGAGAAGAGACACGAGGAAATGACAACCAAACACAGCTAAGAGACTCTCATACTAAACGGAAATAAAACCAGTGCACATGAAATAGGTAAATAAAACATATTCTTTCTGTGAGACAGTAAGGCAAACACTGTATGTAATAAGTACATATAAATCCCAAATAGCCAATGAAATCAAGAATAGAAATCCAATATTGTTCATTAAACATTTGTTGTGTGAAGAGGTGTGTGTGTGTGTGTGTGTGTGTGTGTGTGTGTGTGTGTGTGTGTGTTTTCAGTAGGTGAGGGGAAAGTTAAAGTTAAATCCTGAACACGGTGTAACATCGACTGCAGCAGCCTAATGTGCTCTCCCCCGTCAACATCTTTTCTTACAAAAATCTTTTTTTCTACCATGTTTTTGCCTTCTCCCCATTACTCTCACCCTTTCTTTTTTATCTCTCCTTGTTTTTATGTATCAGCAGGATCATTTTCCTCTCTCTCTCTCTCTCTCTCTCTCTCTCCTTGTTTTTATGTATCAGCAGGATCATTTTCCTCTGTCCTTTACACAGTGTGTCTCTTCTCATTCTTTCATATCTCTCTCTCTCTCTCTCCTTGGCATGCTTGCTTTTTTATATTTGCCTCTCTTGTCCTTGTCGAAGTGCTTTATCTATATTTTCTCCTCCCTCTCACCTCCGCTGTGTATTTTACTCTCCCTTCTTTCTATTTCTCTCACTGACACATGCTTAAAAAATGCATTCCGAGCTTGGAATCTCTTTCACACACATGCTTCACACAAACCTGACATCACAAACATACATGCTTTGAATGACACACACACAACATAGGCTACTTAAGCTAGCTCTGTCTTTGGGTTTCCATGTCTGCCGCTCCTCCAGCCCTCTCAACATGAAATATATGTGACATATCTCTTTGTTCTCCCTCCATCTCTCATCACCTCTCCATCAGAACACATCACCCCCCCCTCCCACGTCTTTTTAACTAAATTCCTGTCTGCCTCTCCTTATTAACTCTAACTCTGCCTTGCCTTGCCTTGCCATTAACTCTCCCTCCTTCTCACCCATCAGCCTCTCCAACTCTCTCTCCGTTTCTCTTTTCCCCTCTCTAACATCCTCTTTTCATTTAGTATCTCGCCTTGTTTACCACTCCCCCGACAGCTGAGTGCTATCACCATGGCCCTGGTAGTTGAATACAATCTTGCGTGTGTCGCTACAAATCTCACTTCAGCAGCCGTCCTCAACATGAGCGCTGCATGCTGACATTATGGAAAGGTATGAAGTAAACCATTGGGATGATGCTCAAAGAAACATTTGTATGTATACAGTAGGATTCAACAATATATAAAGTAGTTAAAATGTACTTCACCTTCACCGATAAAATGCTTCTTACTAGTGGTGGCCAAAATCTAACATCGCAGAGTTCATTTTAAATCCAGTTAAAGGTGGGGTAGGTAATTCACTTCAGAAACACTTTTTGTTATATTCCATGGAATGTTCTTAACATCCCGATAGCAA